TTAACTGTGCATTTACACATCTCCGAGCACTTCTCGGGAGATACCAGAGCAGACACAGGTAACACAGAGGGTGCTTTATCATCTTCCACAGCGTCACTGGGTGCAGTGGCCGCGTTTTCACGTCCCCAACACAGAACACGAGAGACCACACGCCGGGAGGCGGTGACCCAACGGCGCAGAGGGTTCCCAGCACCACGGAAACCCGTCTGCCCGCGGCTCCGTGCCCGCCTCCGCCGGTCCTCGTCCCTCAGCAGCTGCTCCCCCCACTCCCCGGTGGCGGGGACCGGCTAGCAGGGCCCCCCCCCCGGGCGGGGAGGGGAGGCGCGGCCCCGGCGCCCACCTGATGTGCACGGAGCTGGCCAGGTGCGGGCAGGACTCCTCGATGGCCTTGCGCAGTCGCGACAGCGGCATGTCAGGACCCTGGGGAGGGAGGGAGGAGAGCGACATGTCGCGACGACGCCGGCGCCCCCCCCCCGGCCGTCTCCCTCCCGCCCCTTCAGCCCGTCCCCGACCTGCAGCAGCGGCAGCAGCAACCGGTTGAGCCGCCGCCGCTCCAGCAGGCCGAGCTGCGAGCCGGCGCGGCCCAGCTCGCTGAGGAGGACGAGCAGCGCCATCTTGTAGGGGGTGACCCAGTCCTTGATGCCGAAGACATTGGCGTGCACCACGCCGTTCGTCATCATGGGGTTGAAGTACAGGCTCTCGTGCACGCTCGCCATGGCGGCGGCGGCGGCGCCCCACCGGGCCGCCCGGGAAACCCGCCTCGCCCGCCGACCAATCACCGCCGTCGCCGCCATCACGCGGGCCGCGCCGCGGCCAATCAGAGGTGGAGTTGTGCGCCTCCCTCCGCGGGGCCGGCCGGCGGTTCGAGCCCTGAGGAGACGTTCCGGGGAGAGAAGGTTCCGGGGGGGTGCCCGCCTCAGGGCCGCGGGCGGAGGGTGGGCGGGCTGCGGGTCTCCGCCGAGCCGAGACAGTGGAGCGAGTGCAGAGGAGGGCAGCGAAGCTGGTGAGGGGGCTGGAAAACAAATCGTATGAGGAACGGCTGAGGGAGTTGGGACTGTTTAGTATGAGGAAGTGGAGGCTGAGGGGAGACCTCATCACTCTCTACAACTACGTGAAAGGACACTGTGGAGAGGTTGGTGCTGGTCTCTTCTCACAGGTAATTAGTGACAGAACGAGAGGGAATGGCTTCAAGCTCCAACAGGGTAGGTTTAGATTGAACATTAGGAAAGAATTTTTCACCAAAAGAGTGATAGGGCATTGGAACAGGCTGCCCAGGGAGGTGGTGGAGTCACCATTCCTGGCTGTGTTTAAGGGCCGTTTAGATGCAGTGCTAAGGGACATGGTGTAGGGGATGACTTTGTAGAGTAGGGTAGATGGTTGGACTCGATGATCCCAAGGGTCTCTTCCAACCTAGACGATTCTATGATTCTATGACACCACGCCGCGGCCCTTCAGCCCGGCTATGGACTGTGGCGAGCTATGGCCAGCATCTGTGGGGGCTGGCCGCAGCCTGTTAAGGCCCACAGCCCAGCGGGTTGTCACATCTCCATTGCCGCCGGCCTCCATGCTGCTCCACCACAGCCCCTGGGGACAGCGGATGGCAGCTCAGGGGGCCAGCACCCCAACCGTGACCCCGCCAGGTCTTGGGGACAGCCTGTGGTGGACGTGCCACAGCCCTCTGAGGACGCTGTGACCACCACCGGCGTTGGCAGTGCCGTGTGTCCCACTGAGGAGAGCCACGCGGAGGAGGCCGGGTCACCGTGGCTCGGCAAGGACACGGTGCTGCTCCACAGTACGGGGAGAGATGGCAAATTAATTGCCATCAAGATATTTCCAGACATAAGTTTTTATTTTCTCGATAATTTGTTAAAGTACTTCATTAAGGCGTCACGTTGCCAAAGAAAATACTCCAATTATTATAATAGTTCTCATTTCTGCAAGTGAGAGCGAAACAAAACCCAATATTGTTATACATCGGTGTGTCCCTGGGGATTTCAGCTGAGTGGCTCCTGATTCATGGCTGGGGGTGGAGAGAGGAGGAGGAGGAGGCAAATCAAGCGTGGAGTAATTTTCTAGAATACATTTACATTTAAGAAACTTAATGTTGTATTTAGCTGCTGCTGGCATAATTAATGATCACTTCCCAGCCCTCAATGAACTAAACACTCATTGAACTATCCCCGATTATAAACCCTGGGGAATAACTGCAGCTGTTGTGTTATAAAGGTCGATTTGCTGACATTTCCTGAAAGTAAAGTACGAAGCTTTGGACGGAAATGTGGAAAGGGTGGCGTGGCTGGGCGGGGGTGGGAGATGGAATCAAGGCCGGGCTGCAGCCAGCGGGTGCAGAACTTGGAGGAAAAAGGAAACGACAGACATCTGGTTGTGACATTTCTGTGCGAGGCTGCGGAGCCAACGTGCGAACGCTGCTGACAGCCCTGGGAGCAGAGAACATTCAGAACACGCTTTTTAAGCGTATTTAAAATAAACTCGCCCGCCTGAAAACCAGCCCTCCCAATAAGCGGCAAGAGGTGGTTTTGGTCTCGTTAATTTCAAGATTAGGTAATGCGACTGAAAAAGTCATCTTTTATCTTCCCCAAAATAGGCTGACGCCCCCGAGTAACGTGCCTGAGCTCATGGAGCGTGGAATGTGCCACCGGCTGGGGCTGGGGATCCGTGCCTTTCTGTGCAGCGCTGGATCTGTTGAACCAAGTCCCTGTGATCTGAAAAACTTCTCAAAGGTAATTCCAAAGTACGGCGCATTTCTGGGATGAAATGTGAATAGTATAATGATTCTCCCCATAGGTATTAGTATCCAGCCTGAAATTCCCAAATAAAGCCCAGACATTAACTTCTTTTTTTTTTAACTTTACTGTAAAATTCTGCAAATTGTTACATTTAAAACAAATTACTATTCTTGGTAAGAATCACTTCTCTACCTCACTCTGCCGTGACGTGTAAGACCTCGGGGGATTACCGAGCCGCAGCGAGTCATCACCCCTTGTTATTTCACGGCAGAAGTAAATGTGACATCCAGCATTAACAGATCTAAATCTTTTAATGCTTCTTTGGCTCAATCCTGAAGGCTGGGCGAGGGCAAGGCTTTTATTAATAGAACCCCTGCAAATGCTACTTTTCAGCCACAGAGTAGCTGGTGGAGTTAAAGTTCCTTGTTTAAGAACTACTTGGTTTCAATTTAGATAGGTTAATGCACTAAAAGTGATCTCAAATCACATGTTACGAAAATGATTCATCGAGTTCCGTCCAAATGAAGGTGGGAGAGGCAACTGCAGCTGCCAGCACAGTCACCAGATCTCAGCTCTGTCAGGCCCACGTTACTCCCTAAAACATCTGTGTTTGGGAGGATTTCTTGTTGGCAAGTCCTTCGCAGAGCTAGAGGGAAAAAAAAATCAGGTTTTGCTCAGTTTGGCTCGTCTGTGGGACAGAGCTTTTACCCTGCTCACAGCGACTGCACGAGGAGCTCTCCTGTTCTAGTGTGAGATTAATAACAAAAATATGTGTATCATTTGGTTCTTCAAGGGGGACTCTCCAAACCAACAGAGTTCAGGTGGCACAGAAGTTTTTAAAAATCAAATCTACCTTTATTTCTTAAGGTGTATTAAGGCAATCTCTTGCATGAGAAATAGGGGAAATGTGCCACTGCTTGTTCCAACATTGTATTCACAAGGCTTTTCCACTGTCTTTTCAGTTGCTATGACTAAAATCGCAAGCTATTATTGGGGGAAAAAAAAAAAGACATTTTTTATTAAATCAAAAGTTTATAGCACATCAAAAGCTTGTCAAGGAGCGTAAGCATTTCCAAAAGGAGATGGCCTGATTTTGAATGAAGATATTGTGTCAGTGCAAATCCAGAAGTTAGGCTGCACAAAGTGTCTGCTCTTGATGCTGAAGCTGCCAAGACTGTGCCCTTCTCGTGGCAATTACATACTGATTTTTTTATTTTTTTTTTAGACTTGGTTCTTGTATCTTGACTTGCTCCAAAAATAGGTCCTTCCTGCAGAAATTAGTGAAGATTGCATGCAACCTTTTGTACGGGCAAATCTGATTTGTGGTCAAAATTTATTTTCAGCCTCTTGTGTCTGTTCCTCTTTTTGGCAAAGGCCTTCTTTGCTCCTGGCCCTGTGTGCTCTTATGCGGAGCTTTCATAAAGATTTGCTTGGAGTTGTACCGTTGAGGCTTCTTTAATGTAATTTTCTTTAATGTAAATAATGAAAGCTTTCAGTTCTTACAACCTGTGATTATTATTTTTTATAGATATCCCCCTCACAGCAGCGAGAAAATAATAAATCTAGAAGCTGGCTGGAACTGGATTTTTAAATATTAAACCTTATTTTCCACTGTTCAAAAATTACCTCCTTGGGGGAATAATCGTCACGTTGGGCTGTTGCATACAGCACCGAGGCTTTTAATTCTCTTTGTGACAGACCCCGCCGTGTTCGCGGAGCTGCCACAACAACCCGGCCCCTGGTGAGCGCCAGAGTCACCCCCAGCCCTGGGGCGGCGGCGGCCACCTTGGCGCGGCTGTACACGGGGGGAAAACCCCAAACCACCCAAAAACATGAGGTAAAAGTTCTCTCTTGTTTCAGTGACATCACTATTTACGCGCTTAGAGCTGCCAGGGGCCTCTTCTTTCCCTGTTTGAGGGGTATTTTCACTCCCCCCCCGGCTCCGCTCCGCGCCCGTCGAACCTTCGCCCCCGCCAACACACCGCCGCTTCCTCTCCTCCCATTGGCTCCGCTCGCTCGCTGTGGCGGCGGGACAGCCAATGGCGTTGGGCGGGGCGGGAAGGCCCGCCCTCCGTGAGGCGGCCCGTGGCGGGGCGGGGGGGGGCCGGTCGGCGCCGGGGGTCGCCGCGGCCGGACGGCGCCCGGGTGAGGCGACGGCGGACGGCGCTGGAGCGCGAGTGGCGGGGGGGGAGCGGCCGTGGAGGGGGAGGGGTCAGCAGCCGGCCAGGGCCTGGTGCCGCCGCCTGAGGTGGACGCCCGCCCCCGTCTCCGCACACCGGCGGCTGTCGATCCCCGCCGGCGGCGGCTGGCAGGGCTCCGAAGCGGCCGGAGCCGGGCTTGGGGCGGTGCGTGGAGGTTGGGCCTGGCGGGGGGGGGCGGGGGTTGGGAGCCAACCCCCGCCGGGCCGGTGTGCGGGGGGCACGGCAGGGGCTGGCGGGGAGGGCCGGCTCCGGGCGGCGGCGGGATTCGCTCCCCGAAGGCGGTTCTTCGCGTCCGAGGTTGCCGTGGTGCCCCTGGGCCGGAGCTGAGCCTTGTGGTGACAGGGGATCTCTGAGTTCGGCGGGTTCTGGGGAGTGCTTGATCTCTGAGAAAGCTTTGCTTGGTCTCAGGGTGGGTGTGAAGATGGAATTTCAGCTAAAAAAAGAAAAATACAGTTCCTTCTGCTGCTTTCCTCTTCGTCTGCCGGCTTTGATAGCACACCCTGCCTGCACAGGTGTACAAGGAGTGGCATAGAGCCTCCCAGCTGCTTGGGGTGGGTGTCTTTATGAGGTGAAATTCTCATCACTTTACTAAACACCCTTAAAGCCAAAAAAAAGCAGAGACGTTCAAACGCCCCCATTTTGCCCCTATAGTGTGCAAGTAAGGTACGGAGAGGGAAGATAGCTGATGGCAGCGCGTGAGAAGAGAACATGGAAGTGCTGACTGGTGTAGTTGGAAAGGCTTTTGGTGCAGAGATTGGCAAAATTTTAACTAATTCTTAAAGAGGTGACGTTTTGTTTTAGTGGATCTCATTTGTGTCTTGTGTTGGTGCTTTTCAGCAGGGTCTAATTTCTTTTAGAAAGTAGTATGAAGAGTCTAGACACTGTAATTCAATTATGGGTTAATGACACTAGTGCATAGAAAGAATCCGCCGCTGACCCAGGTTAAGGAGAAAATTAATGATGCCCACGTTGCCTTACCTTTCAACTTAAAGTGACCAAATGCTTGGCAGTAAGTGTAAAGAGATTTTCTGTTTGATACTAAAGTTCATATATCCAAAAGGGGTAACAAAAAATTCCTAAGTATGCATTTATTTAGTGTTGACAGTGATGTCTGAGGAGTTGTTACTGGCTCTTGAATAAAAGAAATCTAAGAAGCAGGTGTTAAACTATCAGGCAAGGATTGAGGTAGCAACTATGTTATGTCTTTTGAGTTGTGGGTATTGTAAAGTCTTTTAAGTATAAAGCTAGCTCATAAGATTTTACAAATACGTGAAGAATTAATGTTTCTACAACTGACAAATATCCCTTAAGACAAGAAAAACATTTTTTCAAAAGTCCAAAGTTTTAAAACTTGGAACTCTTACATTCTGAAAACCAATGACTTAATCTATTTCTGAAAAGTTAATTAATCTTGCCTAATAAACTAGGATAATTGTGCGTAACTTGTTTTGTATAGGAAAAATTAATATTGATCTCTTTCCACTCTTTATTATTGAAAAGCAGAAAACAAGTCCTAGTTTGATGAGAGTTTAAGGATTGTCAGGACAGCCTGATCAGGGATCAGACAGGCTCCAGGTGTGGGGTGTATCCGTGAGTGCTGGGGCTGGCAGGCTCTGGGCTGGAGGTCAGGGAAGGGCCACTGGAGTTCGTTCCTCCCTGTGTCCCTTCGCAGGAAGCTTAGGAAGATTCTTCCCTATGTGTGGGGTGCCCACAGCATGGAGGCTTCTTGTTATGCCTGAGATGAATTTTGCTCTTGAAATACCTGTAGAATTAGACTAGTGAATGTTACATGTACATTTGATGTTGTAACTGCACACCGTGTTACATCTTGTACAGCTTAAAAACAAAGTGACCGTGTTCAATATTTTGCTTTATTGCAACACTTTTAATGTCAGCTTACAACAGTAAAAGTGAAGTACCAGGTTTGTGTGGGTTGGAGAGGAGCTTTTGATGTTCCATACTTATGGCACTTACATGACGATGGTGGCGTTGAACATGTTTAGCCCGATGGCATTGTTTCTCCCAGCTTCTCTCTAAGCTCTTTTCTTACTTTTAGTGCTCCGTGGTTTGAAAGGAGATGTTCTGACGTATCCCCAATTATTGTGTTAAGCTCCCACACACGTAACAGGACTGTGTTTGGTTCAGGGGAAATGTGCAATTTAACACAGAAATTAGTCTAGTTACTACAGGAATGAAAGCACCATCATTAGTGAGCTGAAGTGCATGTTCTGGTTGGTTTAGGTTTTACAGCATAAACTGCAAGTCTCAAAAGCAATTATTTTATGTCTTTGTGCTTTGGAAAAAAAACCCAACATGCTGCCCTGGAATGAAAAGCAGAACAGCTTTAACCAGCGTAGTTAAGGAAAAAAAAAAGTATGAAACTTATGTTTAAAGGAAGTTGTTATCACTAGCTTCCTTTTAGAAAGAATGTGATGTGATTCTGTTTCCTTTTTTTTTAGTAGGTTCAATGTTTAAAGGAAGTTGTTATCACTAGCTTCCTTTTAGAAAGAATGTGATGTGATTCTGTTTCCTTTATTTTTTTTTTTAGTAGATTCGAGTGAGCCACATGACAGTGATTAAACATGTGACCTGAACAACTTGGAGTCCAAATTCCAACTTTAAGTAGAATATGAATTTTTTGATAGAGAATCTTGTGCTAAAGGCTTTCAAGGATAAAAAGTAGCAATTTATTTATGTATTTAGAATGTCTGTAGTGTTTTAAGATTAAATTGTATGCCTCATAACTGAAATCCAGTCAGTATAGAGTAAGTTCATGTAGAGGTTTTTTTAAAAATTTTGTTTTTAAGACATTTTGTAAGACAACAAAACACCAGGTTCAGGGCAGTCTTGAAAAACATTTCTCTTTCAGAGACACTAGACCATAACTAGTTTCTAATAAAGATTGGTTTGTTACTTTCAAGTTTGAAAACCTGGATGTGGTTTCAGAGACACTAGACCATAACTAGTTTCTAAGGAAGATTGGTTTGTTACTTTCGAGTTTGAAAACCTGGATGTGGTTGGTTTTTTTTTTTAGAGGGAGTTTTATTGTGAGTCATATAAGAGCTGGGTTAGTTCTGGAGAAGATCCTGCTGGGGACAGCTCTGCACTAATTATGATGAATTGTTTTATTGCTGCCTGTCATCATTTCAGGCTTTGCCCCTCACCTACGACTGGCTGTTAGTCTCTTCCTTCTTTGCTCTGTTCTTCCGTTACCTCCTCAGATTCCTTACCCTTTTTGTGCGGAACTCTGCTAGAAAAGGAGTTATGAAAGTGAGCTCCTTGTGCCTGCACGAGCCCCTCAGAAGCAAATCTTACCTACTTTGGTTTGCAGCTGGGGAGCAGGGATTATTGGGCTGTTACAGATGTTTGTGTACAGAATTCCTGGTGCTCTGGGAATTCATACCACATGCTTTGGGGATGATGACAGATGGGGTAAAGTAGCTTTTCAGTAGCAAGTCACATCCCATGTAGACTTTCAGATACTAATTTTTTTTTTTTTTTTTGGCTTTTTGAATGTTTTCAGGCGGGAGCTACTTCCATGTGGGCTTCCTGCTGTGGATTGCTGAATGAAGTCATGGGTACTGGGGCTGTCCGTGGCCAGCAGGCTGGCTTTGGGGGAGGTGCTGGCCCCTTCAGATTCGCGCCAAATACAGACTTCTCAGCGTATCAGTCTCCAGCTGCGACGGGCGCTAACATTGTCTGCAAGGCCTGTGGACTTTCCTTTTCAGTTTTTAGGAAAAAGGTGAGTATGTTTCCTACCACATAATATTTTTACTCATATGAACTAATCCATAGGCATACTGGGAGATGGATGTGTATTTTCTCTTAGATAAGGAAACCCGAGGCAGATAGCCAGGGAGGGAGTAAGTGTCTTACTCTGAGGTCACAGGAAATTAATGTCAGACAGGATTAGAAGTTAAGAGGTCTGATGTTCATTAATCAGTGACACGTTGGATCTGGTCTGACCTAAAAATTAGTGGATTGTAATTTGTAGGATATGCGTTTTAGCTCCAGAATCTTGAACATTAAAACAAATCTGGTTTTGAAGATGATACCAAAGAAAGTGGTTGGGTATGGAATGAACAAGCTGGATGATGGAACAGCTGAAAACTCACAGTATCTTAGCTTCTTCCTGTTAAACACTTGGGCAATTCTGTTCCTGACCAGGGTTAGTTCTGTTACATGCTATTGCACTCCAGCAGCCTCTTGCTCCATGTGGAGGCAGGTTAATGGTGGGTTAATGCAGATAAATAACACTGAGATTGTTAATATTATTTCTGTCCAGCATCATTATTTTGTCCAGTCAGTGACCTAATTCTCTGCAGCTCATTTGGATAAACATGAAGCCTCTTTCTTCAGTTTGTGTGTTCAGTTTCCCCCTTCCTGTGTGTCTTGTTGTTCTCATGGCAAAGACTTGGTTGAATTAAGTGTTGTGTAGAGATGCTTTCTGAACCTAGTATTAATTTACTAAAATCCTGAAAAACTTGAAGAGTTTGGATTTGTGGATGAGGTGACCATTTAAAATTGCTGCTGAAAGTCTTGCCTGTTCCAGCTTCTGTAAATTGTAGTGAGTCTTTTGAACAAAGAAATGACATCTGGGTGTTTGGGAGAATTTACCTACCATGTGATTCCTCACGTTTAAGGCCTACTTTGAATCAATAGAGGAAGAAGTATATTCTTTAAAGTTTGGTAATTATACTGGTTTTTACACACGTGAAAAGAGCAGTGACGCTTAGTGTATTCAAAAGTCTTTTAACATTCCATAAAATTGTCTGGCTTTCAGTTTCGTTTATTGGCTGAACTACAACTTAAGTACTATATTCATTTTTTTAATTCATAATGTTTTTTCACTGAAACCTCAAATCAGCTGACAGTAGTGCTACAAAAGCCTTGGAACATCTGCAAAACTATTTGACAGGACAGTTTTCTAGACTTAAATCCTAAAAATGACATATGTCAAAATTGATGATAGAAAAACTTGAGTTAAATTATGTAGCCTGGAGAAGGAAAGAGCGGGGAATAACCTGTTTTGTGTGACACACAGCTGAATGATTACTGATTTTCTCTTTCTCCTCAGCACGTGTGCTGTGACTGCAAGAAGGATTTTTGCTCGGTTTGTTCGGTCTTACAAGAGAATCTCAGAAGATGCTCCACTTGTCACTTGCTGCAAGAAACAGCCTTTCAGCGCCCTCAGTTAATGAGATTGAAAGTGAAGGATCTGCGTCAGTACCTGATTCTCAGAAACATACCCACAGATACTTGCAGAGAGAAGGAAGACTTGGTGGATCTGGTGCTGTGCCATCACGGGTTAGGGCCGGAGGAGGACATGGACGCTGGCAGCTTGCATTCATCGCGCTCACAGACTTCGGGGTTTTTTACTCATCCATTTTCTATGTCTGTATCGGTGTCGTCTCAAGGAGATCTTGCAAACAGAAGGGGAAGCACAGGAAACGGAACACCTTTACGGGTAAAATAATTAACATGTATATTATGGTATAGCATAGCTTTTTTTAAAAAAAAAAATTTATAGGTATGCATCGCTTTAAAATAAGATCCAATTGGTGCAGTTCAGGGTGGCACAAAAAATGCCTTTTGTATCTCTTGCCTGAAAAGAGAAGATTACCAGGTAAGATCACTAGTTTAGATGATAGAGGTGACTTAAATCAGTAATGAATAGTAGCAATTGAAACTTCAAAATGCCGTTGTCATCTGTGATTGCTTTGGTACAAAGGAAAATGTTTTAGAAGGGGTATTTTTTTTCCAGTCCTGATTAGTTTCATTTTGTACACAGGGACAAACGGAAACATCTTCTATAAATAATGAAGAAGAAGAAAGTGCAGAAGAGCAGGTGAGAGATGAACTATCCAAAGGATGAATTTTTGGCATGTGACACCTTAAAGTGTTCAGATGTCTGTCAACATTTACTCTCACACTATAGTTCTGTCAGAATTAGCTACGTCTAGCAAAGCATATCTGCAAGTACTTACTTTAGAAAGAATAAAACCTTAGCCAAGCTGCTGTAGCCTAATGTAGCACCAGATGTGGTGCTCTGAACTCACTGGGACAGTTAAAAACATGGAGTTGATGTGTTTCAGACCCCTGGATTGTCCAGAAAACGAGCGAGGGCGTCTTTGTCTGATATTTCAAGTCTGGAAGACATCGAAGGGTTGAGTGTTCGGCAGCTGAAGGAAATACTCGCCTGTAATTTTGTCAACTACTCAGGATGCTGTGAAAAATGGGAACTTGTGGAAAAAGTCAGCAGACTATACAGAGAGAGTGAAGAAAACCACAAGACACGTAGGTTTATATTTAATTCTGACTTTCTCTAAGAGAGTACTTATTTTCTGGTTTCCAGTAGCTTGTTCTGCTCAGAAGGACGTGGTATCTAACCTGCTCTGTTCAGCTGGAACAACTGGAAAGTGTGTTTTAACAATTCAAGCTGCATCTAGAGTAGTTGGACACGGTTCTAGTGAGTAAATGAAGCTTTCTAGGATTGCGCTGGTTTTTTGTGACTTTTTTCCAAAGCTCGGAGAGCTCAGCTTTCAGGGTGAAGGTAAAATTGCACAACTGAGAACCAGTTCCTCAGAGAACATGAAACTTGGCACCTCCACCTCCTTTCTTAGGTTTCACAAGGCATTAGTGAGGGAGCTTCTCAGGAGCTGTCAACAGACCAAAGCAATTCAGGTCTTTTACTGCGGTGCAGAATTAAAAGCTGCGGTGGCAGAAGTCCAAGTTCAAGTGGTTTGGTCTCAGTCCATGTTTTCATGATAAGGTGGTTCTGTGGCTGCAGCTCGGTGACAAGTGCTCTTCTACCCTGTCACACTCAACAACTGGAGCCTTTCACTTGTGTGACTGTACTACATTCATAGGCCTGTTCCTGTGTGTAACGTACAAGCTGAGGAGAAACTTTTTGATGTCACTGCCAGCTTGAAAAATGCCAGCCTGGCTCCTCATTCCTGTGTCCAGCAGCCAGGCTGTAAAGGACAGGGGACAGTGGTGACTGGAAAACTCAATAGCCCTGGGCCACGGCACAGCCAGATTGTGCCAGCACATACACTGCAGGGACTGTGATAATCGGGTGTGAAACCATCAGCTAATTAGGGTGGAGGATGGTGAAGGTGAGGGACTGTTAGTGAATGTCAGAACATGGCTTCAGTGAAACCTTCCGTTTGGTCAGAAACTAGAACTGAAAGCAAGCTTTAAACTTAGGATTGTGGCTTTTTTCTGACAGAACTTTTGCTTATTGATGGGGGATGTTGTCTATTTGCAGCAAAACTCAACAGGTTTCGTTCAGTTCTGCCACCTTTACAGCCTACTTAAGGCTTGTGCTTCTTAGTCTGCTTTATTATTATTGTGTTTAATCTTCTGAGGAAAGTGTTCTGCCGAATGAAGTAAGCTCAGCCATGGAAAACCAACACGCTCTGAATTTTAATCCAGTGCGTTATTTCACAGTCATTATGTTCTGAATTGAAAATGGTGGCTGAGTTTAAAGAATGAAGCCACATGTTGGATGTTCCCTTGGGGATTTTCTAGTTCTTGTTGTTGTTGTTTGGTTGGGGTTTTTTTTGAAGGAATATAGATTAATTCTTAGCTCTGGGTTAGAAAAACTATTGTGGACGTGGAGCAGAACTACTTCATGCTACATTAGCTGTGTATTTTAGTGTTTGCCTGGGCTAGAACTTCACAGGTTTCCCCGGCCCAGGGTGCCTGATGTCCCTTCCTGTTGTTTCAGAGGGTGAGAAGATGCAGCTGAACGACAACGACGACAACCTGTGTCGGATCTGCATGGACGCGGTGATCGACTGCGTCCTGCTGGAGTGCGGCCACATGGTCACCTGCACCAAGTGCGGCAAGAGGATGAGCGAGTGCCCCATCTGCCGACAGTACGTAGTGCGGGCCGTGCACGTCTTCAAATCCTAAACCCAGACCAAAAACGGATTTTTACAGTCACCTTTCCAGGATGGCTGTGGGCAGGAGTGCCCGACCTTGGGGCACGTGTCAGCTTTTTAGTTCCCAATCGACACAGCGTTTTGATCATCCGGATCTAGAAGTTTGTGGAAGGTTTTTCTTTGTGAAAGGTTTTTCTACAGCCTACCCAGTCCCAGGGTTGGGCGGCGCAAGGCGAGGCCTGTGTGTACAGTAACGGCGCTGCCTGACTTACCTTATAAACCTACAAACTGTTGGAGTCAAACTGTTTACAGCAGTTCTTGCTCTCTTCTGAAGAATATCGCCTCTCACTCATTAGCGCGGTCAGTACTGGGCGAGTGGTCAGAAAACACCTCTGCTTGACCATAATTAGTGTTACGTCTAGTGCATTAGAAGCAAGGAATATATCAGTTGAATATTCAGCTCTTATTGTAATTATAGAATGTAACTGTTCCGACACTGTCCCTGCAACAGTGTTAACAGTATAAAATATGACTGTAGAAAGCACTGCCATTAACTGTACCTGCACAGAAGCCCTTAAGCAATCTATTTTATGCCGGTTGCTTCCTTCAGCGTGTCTGTCATTACACGTGTACCCTCTTGGCCATTATTTGTCGTTGTACAAAAAGCGCTGTCACTTTGCAGGGCTCTGCCATGTGCTGTCCAGATACCGATTACTAAGTGTTTTTTAGTTTAGGGATAAAATATTTTTTTAAAAAGGGGTATAGGAAACCATATTCTCGTGGTCCTTAATCCACTCATGCCTGTTGTAACTATTAATCTTACGTGTGATGATTGTACGCCATGTGCCGACAACCTGATATTACTGTGAATACTAATCAGGGTCATCAACCTACTTGCTGCTAACGTGGAATGTAGGGTGTTACTAACCTTAACCGGGGAGGGGGGTTTGTTAAGGGAAAGGAAACATGGTATTTGTTTAAACCCTCGTGTTCACAGCTGTTTTAACCAAGGCTGAGCTGTTATTAGCCACACTTCCCATTGGCTGCTGCCAGCCCTTGGCCCAGTTTCCAGCCAGGCTCTGTGCCAGGAGCAGGGCCCCTCTTGGAGCAAGGATTCTAAGGGTCCTTGCAGGGAACCTGGGGGACACGGTGGGGAGGACAGCAGCAAGAACAGCACTTGTTCTGGGGCAGTGTCTGACTGATGAAGGTCGCTGTAGAATAAGAGAGGTGAGGAAGGTCGGGCTCTGTCCTTTCAGCAGGGGTCACCAATGGAGCTGCAGTTTCTTTCCCTTTTGATTTCCCACTTTGTCTCGGCTGTAACACCTGAGAACTTGTATCTCTGCAACACTGTCACACCTGCTCTTGGCTTTTTTTGTGAAAAATTAAGCTGGCTTGAAAAAGAGAAAGTAGCTGCTCCTCAAAAATAAAATACACAGCTTAGAGACATTGCTGGTTATTTTTCAGAAGGGAGCAAACCTCTCAATGGCTTTATTTTTTAGAAGTAACTTTTTAATGGTACTTAATTCCTGGAGTCTCTGTTCAGTGGGTAAGCTAATGAAGAAAAACATACCCTCTCTGTTATTTCCATGCTGATCATTAGCCACACAAGCTTAATAAAGATTTGTGATGGGCTCTCTCAGCCTCCGTCTCTTTTCTTACCCAGCTGGGGGAGTGCTGTTGGTTACTCAGCTCAGGCTTCAACACTCTTCTGGAGATGTCAGTGTTCTTTGAGATTAATCTGGGCAGATTCCAGCTTGAGGGAGGGCACATACGTGTATTTCATTCCCTCCTCAGTAAAAATGTACTGGAATATGCCAACTTAAAGGCCCAGGCCAAGGCCCAGCTCAAGTGCTGTGAAGGTACCACTTGCACCCAGGCTACAACCATCTCCTGCTCCACCCTCGGAACCCAGATGTCACCTCCCCACGCGGTGTCCCCCAAACCCAGCCCCCACAGAACACAAACCTGCGGAGCCAGCGCCTGTTTTTGTACAATTGTTTATACAAATTCAACAAAGGTAAAACTGCATCAGGAAGGTCTACGAAAACAACACCGTACAACAATGGCACTTATGAATGCAGAATTTTACAATCAGGAAATAACCATGTTATAAACCTTAAATGAGAACTCAACTCACACTTCAAAGAAAGAGAGACTACGTTTGACCATTTATTCTACGGCTGGACTCACTGTATAAATTAATTTTATATTGAGTACAAGAGCTCATGCTACAGAGTGAAACCCTCCTATGTGCAAAAGCTGAAATTGGAATTTTTTTTTAAAATTTTGAGAAAAAAGGTGATTTCTATACAGATAAAACTTGGCAAAGTGTTTTACTTCAACTATAATTTACACCTTATTTCCACAACATGCTTATGTCACTTCTGAAGTATACAAAGCAGGATATAAACTTCCATTAAAACATGCTTTAAGTTGAAAGTATTAACCTACTTTTTTCCTGACCTGGGCACGTTTGTAGATAGATACTGTCTACGAAGTATAGGTTAAGTTCTCGCCTACCATAAGTAAAGATAAAAATTGGCAATCAAAACCAAAACACTGGTAATGCATTCAAACATTGCATAAATAATTTTTAAACAATTTTTGTACAAAAATAGTTCTGCATAATGTAAGATGTAACAAAACAAAACGTGTTAAGAAGGCAGAAATGCAGTGCGTGGTCCACTTGAATGACACCAACTTTTTTTTGTTTGTTGTTGTTGTTTTAAGAAATGAAAAGCAGAAATCAAATTTACACTACCAAGCACATGCTGTGGTACTTTAAATAACAGTATTTCTTGGAGATCAGTCGTCTTCCGGGTGTGAACAATTATCATCAATAACAGTCGCCTTATGAATTTGCATAAGAGCCAGTGCAGGACATCCCAGGTAGACTGAATTAGTGGCACAAGTTGAAAATCTTAACATGGGTAGTTTCATGTTGTTCTCTCCTCGACAAGAGTTGTAAAATCCAAATCGCGGCATTTTCCAATATTCCAAGTTCCCAATTGAAAATAAAATCCCTACGTGTTCTTAGTCCCTGCCCTCCCCCCCCGCCCCAGTATTTACACGTGTCCTTTAACTAACTCAGTTTTTGCAGGAGTTTTTCTTCCACTTGCCCAAACTGAACACTTACTGACATCTCCGCTATGAACTGCTCGCAGCCTTCTTTTGTCACTTGCTTGCAGTACCTCAGGTCGATCTGGCAGATGTTTCCACACCGTTTGAAGTAAGACAGGCACTGGTCAGTAACCTTATTGCAGTCTGCCAGGGGGGGAAAAAACAAACAGGGGGAGGGGGGAGAAAATTCATCAGCACATTTTGGTTTGTTCCCCAACACGAGGATGGTCTCTCCCGGCGGCGGTAGGTGCCTCTTGCCGACAGCGGGATGGCCCAGGCGCCCCACGGGGGTCCCCGTGACCCCGTTGTGTAACCCATGAGATAAAGCAAAGGACACCAGATGCGCAGAGCTGGGGGCCTGGAAAATCCCCCGTGGAGGATGAGCGAGGCACAACACACGCTGCTCCGGGAGTGGGTGGTGGGGGCCCGGGGGGAGGCTGCAGCTGCGGGGTTTGTTCCACCGGCAGCACCACCAGGGGCTTAAACGGAGCCCCCGGGGAGGGAGGGCAGCAACACGGGGGCAGGGGAAGAGCTGGGTAAAAGCACTTCCACTGCTGAGCGCGTCTCCCACGTCTAACGCCGACGGGCAATTCCCATCCTCCCCCCTCCTCCGCGCTCGTGTTGCTTACCTGATAAATTAATTTCTGTTAATGAATCCCGCGTGGTGGTTCCAACCGCGGTCAGCAGGTTAATAGACTGATCTGTCACGTGATTACAGTAACTAAGATTGAGTTTGGAGAGCAGAGGCATGTGCCTTATGATCAGCCGCAAAGAAGCGTCGGTGATATCCAGGCCAGCCAGACGCAGCTCAACGATGTTCCGTAGCTTACTCCGGTTGTCGATCTGACCTGCAAAGCGGAGGCAGAGGGTCACCCCCAAAAGTCTCACCCCGGATCCCAAACATCCGCAGATCTATATGAAATGCACCGTGACACACAACACCGCCGCCCTACGTCAACTTCAGACGCTTTTGCCTGTCTGGAGCTTCGGAGGGGACATCAGCAGGAACACTTGTCTATTTTTGGAACAGGCACGTGGACAGAGCCACCTCCCGATGTCAAAACAAAAGGGATGAAAGTAACTGCAGGGGCCCAGCGGAATTACAAGTCGGGAATAAGCAGTAGGCTGTGCAGTGCATGCCAGAAAGCAGATCTGATTTGCTCAAAATTTCACCTGAGCTGAGATCCGGGCGAATGTGGCATGACCCACAGAACTGCTCCTTCCCTGAACTGGAAGAAAGTGTTTCCATACTCTCTAAAGTACACCCGTTGCAGCCTGAAGAGAAGAAAGTCAGACAGAAAACCAGCACAGTGGCTCAGACGACTGTTCAGCAGCCAGAGAACATCACTGGTTACCCAGGGGCTTCCAGCGAGGAGGTGTTGCGAGTCACTACACTTTGAACACCCCGCGCGTCAGCGAAGCCCAGGGCCGCACCGGTGGGTGCAGGCTGCGGGGGTCTCTGCCCGTTTCCTCCAGGGGGGTCTAGCAGCACAACACACCACAGCAGGGCTGGGACAGGGCTCCCCCGCGCTCCTCCCGCCTGTTACCTGGCCGGTTGTCTGTGGGCGGCGACAAGAGGTCTCTCATTTGTGCGTCTTTCAGGCCTTCTGCCCACTGCACGTCCAGAGTTCGGAGTAAAGGACAACTGGAACTACAAAGTGCCGACACCGCTATCCATGAGCACCCTGATAACAGCAGGTCTCGAAGACCTGCAGATACAGAAGAAGTTGGAGCACGTGGCCTACCCGGAGAGACATACGCGGCGATCTCTGCTTCCACGCGCGGGGCGGGTGAAGCCCAGTGCTGCTCTGATGGACCACCCCAGAACTCCAAGGCAAGCAGGGGCCCCAGAAGCCTTCTCCTGCCCAGGTCTCCATCTCTCCCACCACCTGGAACTCCATCGCTGTGGGTGAGAGCAGACCCCGCCACCCCCACTGCTCATGACGGCAGCACAGGCACTTTCCCCAGCAACGTTACCTGTTGACTAAAACCTGCCTAAAATTATCTACTGTGTCAAGTAGTCACAAGGTAACTAATTTTGGGCCCATTTTAACTCACTGATGCTTCATTCCTACATATCTACTCCTCTCCTAGGATACCCAGATCCCCGCAGACATTCCTCAGAGATTGCAGTTTAGATACAAACTGTTTTGGTAAATTCAGTGAAGCGGTGAAAAGCCCATCACTTACCTGGCAGTCTGTTGATAAGCCAGCTCAGCTGCTTTTTAGAGATATTTGTCCAGCTAAGATCAAGGGTTACAGGCTGTCTCCTAATAATGCCACTAAGCATAAGTGGAGTGATGGATTTACAATGGTTTAAATCTATTTTGGTCCATAATCTTTTGTCACAGCACCTACCCAAAAAAAAAGAAAAAAGCCAACAGCACTTAGTTTGGCACTTGTTTTGATTTCTGCAAGACTTTAAAAGGTGTCATTAAACAGTAGGAAGAACTACAGTGTTTAACTGAAAATGGCAAAAATAAGGCTGAGGGATGCTAAGATAAGCACAACACCACACAACGTTACGTAAGTTTGAAGTTTCTCCATCCTATAGATCACGCAACAAAGCACAGAATTATTTTCAAGTGTCAACAGAATTACAAGTGTCAACAACTTCGGATCCCATTTTAAGTCACCACAGCACTTACTGAAATCCATCTTCTAGCCTGAAGACAAGCCACATCTTCTTGCTTACCTTTTGAATACAAAGACTGGTTTTAAGTATTACTGCCCTGATTTCCCCTGTGCTTTCCTTGCTTAAAACCAGTGAGTTCTGTAAAACAGACCCCCCCTCTCCTGTTCTGTGTGTTTGTGTTATTCCTATCTATGGGGCCCACGCATTTTTCCACTCTCTTCACGGTTTTCTAAGGGCAACGAGCGCGAAGTCCTCACGAGCGTGCAAGGTTTCGCATTTTCTCATTTTCCCATTAGAAAATACTGCACTGAAGTGGAAAAGGCATTTGCCAGCTTTCTGTGACACCATGAAGCCCACAGAGGAGACACTCCACACACATCATCTTGCACTGAATTATCAACCTCTCAACCTTCCTGTCATTTACCCCGTTTGTTACTACACTGTGCTAGAAAGGAGTCTCCGTTACAACGTGCCCATCTGTGTGCACGTTACAGCTGAACCCCAGACGACAGCCAGCAAGTGACTCTGCTGCGAGTTCAGTGAAACACCTACATCTGTCCACTAATGCCTCCTGCTGCTGTACTGTCACCCACTGTGTCAACCTTCACACTCCGGTACCCCAGGAACCTAACGGACACACTGTGAGTAAATACAGTTAATGAAGGATTCCTCCATCAGCTCTGCAGTACAGAACACAGGGAACTGGATCGCTCTCCATGTACCCTTTGCAGGGAAACAACCAGCACAGACCTTCTGAGGAGAACACCGAGGGCACTGGTGGATCTTCACTATATCTCAACAGATATTTAATAGCCAAACTGAACAAACAACTGCATTAGAAGTCAGCGAGTCCTGGGGTCAGAACGGCACCAAGACTT